AGATAGATAGATAGATAGAGAGATAGGTAGATAGATAGATAGATGGAGAGAGAGATAGATAGATAGATTGATATATAGATAGATGGGCAGATGAAAGGTTAGAAAGTTAGATAGATAGATAGATAGATAGATAGATGGATAGATAGACTGATAGATAGAGAGAAAGTTAGATAGATAGATTAGATATATAGATAGATAGATAGATAGATAGATAGATTGATTGACAGATGAATAGGTAGAAAGATAGATTGATACATTGACAGTTAGACTGAGCAGTTTATGCTCCATAGTGAGTAGTTTATGTAGACAATGCTGCCAATCGTCTTTGATGGGACTCCTCCAAGTAAATGGTGAGCAAGTTTTTTCTTTTTTCTAGCCGAATGTTGCAGGTAAGAAACCGTCGTTTCAAACGAATTGTTTTGGAATGTCTCGGCGGTTGATGGAGGCCACGACCGAGGAAGAATACGAAACCGCTTGGCGGAAACTGTATCGTGCATTTCAGGTTTTTAGATTTTCCTCATTCAGTTGATTTAAAAAGGCAACTGAATGCAAATTAAAGGTCATTTTAAATCGGAACAGAGTTGTGTAGTGGAGAATGCCTGCTGAGACTGAATTAGGAGCATTTAAACTGTAATAAATTTAGTATTTTGGTAGCCCTTCTCTGAAGCAATCCGAAGTGTTCCGATTAGTCGTGGGAGAAACCTTTTATAGTCTGTCTCCAACAACTATTCCACTTGCTATTTTTAGCGTGCCCACAACTTCAAGGATTCGTTTCGGGGCATAGTCATGGATGTGACAACCCACAATAAGCCAACGGTAATGGGCTCGTCCAAGCATGTTGAGCTCACGTGTTTCAAGGCGGTATTCATGCAAATTCAGACGCACTGCTTTAAATTTCAGTAGGTGAGGTAATCTAATGGTGCACCGAAACAAGTGGGCAAAATATGTATAATCTACTATCCAACGTATTCATCCTTTGGGGGCCACAGTCCCTAGACGTATTTGTGAGCGACGTGCAGCAAACGGCCTTTACGGTAGGAACTTTTGGGATAAATATGGCACTCACCTCATCAGCGCACTTGTTTTTTACTAGATGTTTTATATCCATCCTGAAACATGATATTCAGCCGATTATGGGTTATTTTCCGGAAGGAATTTATGTCTATGCCCGTTATCACCAGAACGAATCACAGAAGGTGAAAAGTGATGATAGTTAATCGGAATTTTAAACAATCCGAAGTGTTTCGGAAAAAGATCTGCTATTCCTTGGAGTGAACATGTGCATATACGAATCGAAAGACGTTGTCTGAGTGTAGTTCAGTTGAGTTGAGTTGAGTTAAGTTGAGTTCGGTTCAGTTCAGTTCAGTTGCGTTCAGTTCAATTCAGTTCAGTTCAATTCGTTTCATTGTCCCAGCTCGTCGGGAAGGCCTTCTTCCCCCTTGTGGCACGAACAAGCCTTTGGCCGTGCTAAAGCGAACACCAAGTCAAGGTGATTGATTTTCTTTTTCGGAAGTGGCACGGAAGAGTCCTAACGAATCGACCCTGTGTTGAACGCTGCTACATCTTGTAGTGAAGCAACCTTTTTTCTGTATTTTTTCTGACGTCATTCGTATTTTTATTCAAATCGAAGAATTTCTACGGGCATTTGCCGAACTAATGGACGTTCAACGAATAGACAGGTGAAATCATTGGTATATGTTACTACTGAATGCAGGACACTGGCAATTAGCAACACAAGGATAATGGACTTCCCGTTCATTGTGTCGAGATTTCATATGAGCCGAAGTTAGCTATTTTACCATCTGCATTTGTTTTTATTTTAAGGAATGTGTTCCACCAGGCAAATTCACTGATGCGGAGGCTTGGAATCCGTGTAACTCCCCAAATTAGACGGTTACATGATTGATTCCGTTACACACAGAACTAATCGATCCTTTGGGGCGGATTTTCGCCACCACCTGGTGACACTTGGAACAAACACCAGATGCTCCCTATTGGAGTGAGAGTGTTGTTACCGACGTGCTTTAGAAAACTCAGTGGTTAAGGCGTAATCTTACTGATTGCAGGGTCCGCGATTCGAGCCCAACTTTGGGATTTCGACTGCTCTAGAATTAGACGGTACCTGCATTCTCGTGCATCTTTTGCATGACGCGGTTCTACACCTGAATGTGTATCTATTATTTGTTATTTATTATTTTTATTATACAAACTCCCGTATTGCGCAAACATAAGGTAGACTGGATCTTCAGGTGTGTAAAAAAATGTACTGGATAGATCCATTTTCAAAAGTCATACTAAATGTCTACCGATGCTAGTTACATTGGTTGCTGTGGATTCCTCATAATAACAGTCAATAGGGGACGCACTTCATCCTAGTATAATTGTGGAACCGGTTAACCGCTGAGGGGGGTCCGAATCTGATTAGCGTCTGACACTGAATACTGAAATAGCATAACCGTTATTAACCCCCGTTACGCACAGGTCTAGTAGTATCGAATGCTTACTTTTAATCGGAACTTCAGTTTCGCACGTGTGCTAGATATTTGACCAGCTTCCCACAGGCCATTCGTGTGATAGAAAGAATGCCCGTGAGCCGGTAACAAAAGACTGTCATATAAAATGCGTCGAACTAACCAGTTTTGCATCGTGATGCAATGCTCTTGGAACTGACCGAATACAGCTTCATAACAAGTGAATTCCTCCGACTTTGGGTTTCCATGTGCCATTGGTGAATGCTGGGTTTGTATCCAGTGTCTACAGCTACCGCCGATCAACGCATCCACCTTCGAGACGTCCCTTAGTGAGTGGTTTAACGAAACCGTTGAGCTTGTTGTGGTCTGGCTACCCAATAACTTACTTAACCAGGAGAGTGTGGCAAAGAAATAAAAATAATAACGCTTGATTGAGTATACACTTCTAAACAGATCAGATATAACCGATTGTCTAAAAATTGTTCTTTTTAAAATAGTTCGTCGATGGTGCGGTTTCAGCGAGTAAACAATAATCCAACCATGGTTATCCAGGAGTACTCTAGACAGTAGATAATTTATGTGATAGATAGATTCCGATGATGGTCTGAAATGTGTTGATACAGGGATTGAGCCTCATGAATGACCGCTGTAAGCACGTGAGAAAACAAAACAGCGACTCGGAACACTTGACTAAGTTTATATTGCTTGAAATTTTAACAGTGCGATTTTTGTATTTTTTGGATTCAAACAAAAAAAGGTTATGCCACTGACAAAATACGTCATGTTATAATGGAAGCAAAATTAAGGTACAGAAACAAAACTTCTTCCTAAATCACGTAGAGATAGACCTTTTATCGAAATCACATCGCAATCAATGAACCTAATTGATTATGCTAACTAAATAAAATGTGGTTCTCACCGTTGAATCTTGAACTAGGTATTACACTGCAAACATTCTTCATTTGGAACAGCAAAAGGTGACGTAGAATTATGACTATTTTTCGTTGCTCATGGTTCCACCTCTAAATCTTTTATAGCTGTACATAGTTGCAACGACTCAAGTGACCACATGTTTATTAGCCAGGCCGCTGATCTGAGAAAGATGAGGAAATCAAGTAATTCAGCGATTCCGTATCATCATCATCGTCATCGCCACCATCCTCATCACTATCGTAAACATCCTCATCCACGTCACTGTAGCCTCAGCATTTGTCGCTGGTGTTTCGCTCCCGTACAATCAGGTTTTTGGTGGACGTCTTACTGGAGAGCAAGTGTACAAGATTTACTTCTGGCCTACCAATATCATTTGGGGATGCCAAAACTTCCAGTTACTCATTCTGCCAAGGAGATGGATTGGCAGGCACATTATACTGATTTTACAAAGAGGCTTTACAAAGAGTCACAAATAATCAAAAGAGACTGTCGCAGGCTTAAGAAGTTCTGTGTCTTCGAATAAATACCGTCAATTACTGAATCTTTGTACAACTGATCCAGCTGGCGTTTCGGGAAAATTCGGGTGTGCAAATGCGGAATATACGTGGTTACTTCCCGACCAAATAACGGGCCGCTTGTTGGAATCCATTTGACAAATTTTAGACTATCTTTCTGAAGCAAACCCGAATTTATGCGAGAAAGCCTTGTCTCAGGAAGTCGATTTATCCTCTTGTGAAGAATGATAACTAGTAGTTATCGAATCACCAACTTAGTCATGATAAACCACTTACCAATTTTGAGTAGGTGAACAAGGGGATTAATTTGAATGTTCGATGATGGACCTCATCATGTTCATCTCGATATTTCAAGATTGTTAGATCCACATGTGTGATTGCAACGAGATTAGTAACCCAATGCTGTGTTGAGAAGTTACTTGCATCATCCTCGAAGGAGGTTCACACCGACTTGCACAGACTTCTCGAAGTATGTTTCTTACCATCAAACGTTCCTCCATTGAAGACTCTGTTGCAAACTCGAGCACTCGTTTTCTAACTGTGCAGTTGTGGATTCACATACTTCGGTTAACATCAGCTGTGGTTCTGAGAGCGACAAGCATTCGGCGAATTTCAATCCACATTTCTTCCCATAAGTTAATCCAGGAAGCACTGTACATCTGCATAAGCCCCGCTTTTGCAGAATGGTTTCCACTCTCATGCTGCTTCACTAATCTCGGCGTAGCACACACAGAGAAAGAGCAGATATATCTTGAGATAATGGTTTTGATGTCTTAAGATAATGCTTTCTCTTCAGTATTTGGATCAGATGTTAAGTGATACACTTTTTGGATTAACAGACAAGTTGAATGCGTACCGAGTTACCGATTACAGATGAAACACTTCACTTGTCTATGAGGGCATGAATATCTAGAATGTTTTCGTCCACAAGATTCACACTTGCCAAATTTTTGAACCGCCGAATTAGACTTACGATCTATGAAGTGACGTATTGTGGGATATTAGGCACTATAATTTCTTCGAGGTTTGAATTTTGTGTTCGCCTGAATCCTTGAATTATTTCATTTAGAATAATTTAACAAAAGTTTCTTCAGTCTACGTGAGGCTTCACATCTTCATACTGCTCACATATTTTTCGAATAGTTTGAAATTTCTGATCCAGACAGAGCAGCGGCTTCTGCTATAATTCGGACACCTGAATGCCAGCAATGAGCCTGCCAAGCAGCTGATATGCCAATTGAGCACAATAGTCTCATTTGGCTGACTATATCGGCAGCGGCAATACGAAATCACAAACGACTGATAATGGAAGCTTGTCAACACATTGAAACTTTCTCTTTCGGGTGCTACATAGTTAATTAGTTTGAAGTGTTGGGGAACTTTTTCTTCAGTGCATTGTGGGAAATGTTGGTTGGAGATTCATGCTACAGTAAATTCTCAATCAACGTGTACGCCTCCCTGCCCACTAAATATAGGAAATATGCCGTGAGTTTCAGATTTTGTAGAACACCATATGTCGAACCGTTCCAAGTAATCTTCTACGTCTCGCGCCTTTGAATTAAAATCAAATGTTTTCATTTCGGCAGGCATGATGTATTGTTCCAATCGCGATGCAGAAATCTGAGAATTGAGTTCCGCACATATACCAGTATAACCAGACAAACTAGAAATCCAGCGTAACAAGTATAGGATGTAGCGTATGTGTAAAGCATATGGAATATTGAAACGATGGTGTACATCACCCAGACACTTGGTAGACGAATTAAGGAGCGACATCCAGATTAGCGTGGGGATTTCCTCTAATAAAATACAACTGCTTATTTAAAAAAGACAGTTTTGGAATTTTTCGCATTCGTGTTAATAAGGTGGAAAAAATAGCTTTCTTGAAAGCTTCAGCACATCAGACGTTTTGGCGTGCATCGCATTCCCTTATCCCATACACCATGCCGTCGAGTATGAACTGGGTTTTGAAGTTCCAGGA